ACTCTGAAGACAATGACAGTTTTGCTACTTATAGCATGACTCAGGGAATTTCACCCTGTAAAACAGAAGCTGCACTTCAATGGTAAAGTTGTTTTACATTAAAGTTCTGGAAAACTAAGTCTGGACCAATTCTAAAGTAACAATTTTTTGCCTCTATCCACACCTGCTGATGCTGCCAACTCCTTTAGATCAGCAGGAGCCTTATGCAAGTGAAGTAACTTGAGGAAACTGAGCTAGCTTAAAAAAAACTGGCTGGGAGGTGGAGAGATCTGTTCCTGTTGATACTTTTCAACTCTCAGCAGGAATATTAATGCTTACATAAGAATCAGCAAGATGCAATCAAAGAGAGGCGTGAAGGATAAAGTCATCCCCTTTCACAGCACTCTGAACTTCAACTGGCTGCAGCTAAAACTAACTTGTTTCCTTAAGATCTCTTCTTACACAACATTATCATTCATTTACAATCTGCAATTTAAGGACACACTCCTTGCATGAGTCATTCTGCAGACAGCAGAATTCAGAGTTTTAGATAGACATAAGGATTTTGCCTTGAATAACAAAATTTGATATCCTTCAAACATTTGAGTTGTGAATGCACTTGTACTTGGAAACTGTTTTGTCCTTGAAGAGTGCAGAGTCTTTTATAGGAGGTCTAGAAATTAAGGAGAGCATGCAGGAGGTAATTTAGAAGTACAATAAGAACATCTGGAGGCAAGGTTTAATAATCAAACAGATTCATTTGCTCTTACTCCCTCCATAACAACTGCTAATCTAGGACTAGGTAAAGCAGATTAACTGAAGTGTAGGTCCTCTAAGAACCTGTCCTGTTCTGCTTCATTACACATCACGTTCATGGCTATCAAATAAATAATCATAAACATCTGAAGACACAACCTAATTTTTCAAAGGCAGCATATTACAGTGGGTATTTCTAGTCATTCAAGTACTCAAAAACTTTAGAGGAAGATAAATTCCATGCACAAAGTTTTCTTGAATGTTCTTCCACAAACGAGTGCAAAGCAGAGCTAGAGAAAGGGAAACTGTTTGCTCCAACCTTGAGGATTTTTTTCTTCTAAGAAATCATTCTATGAGTAGCAAAACTAATGGAACCTGTTTTCCTGCACTGCTGCATCTCAAGACTATTGACTTTGACATCTAACTACATAGGAGCTGTGACAGCAGTTTTCACTGAAGTTGGGCCATTCATAATGTTTGTGTCCCTGAATTCCCTGGAGTCTCATAACATAACTGATTTAGGCAGCCCTTCCCTCTCCCTTCTGCCCAAACTTGTATCATCATGAACAGTGTCACTGACCAACAAACTCAAAGGCACAGAAGAGGGGAAGAAAGAAAGGCATCACTTCTTTAATAAATCAATCTAGCAAAACAGAACTGTACACTGTCCTTTAATGCTTGTGGTTTAGTTTATATCTTGGGAATTGTGCTGCTTGAAGCTCCCTGCTATAAAAACAGAACCTGCTCACTCATTGGCTTTCCTATCTTTCACCTGGTAAAATTCCTTTCTCCTCTCTTTTTATGACAAAATTTCCCTTTTTTATTTTGTTTAAAAGAAAGGTTTTGCATTATTTCAGAGTAGAGGTGAAGGGATGGAAGGGAAAAGAAAGGTTGAAATATGAAAGTAAGTCAAAGTCAGAGCTGCATGCAGATATCCAATCTGGACAGAGAGTAAAATAATTTACCACCAGCCAGACATGAAGCCTAAATCTTTCTAAGTGACTGACATGATTGTGAATGCACTGCAGTAAGAATAGCATCATCTGCATTTTTATATGATTTACCACAGGCTTCACAATAACAAGAGGATATTCAAAACTTGGAAAGTAAGAGAAACAAAATGGCAAAATGGTGCTAGACAGTCTCTTGGCCTATTTTCCCTCCACATCCAGCCTTCTTTCATCCAGTGCAGAGCAACATTTGCAAAGCAGTTTACTTACTCAGTAGTTCTCCTACAAGGAAAAGGCAAGGTTACCATAGTATTGTCAATTAATTTTGACACCTGCTTACAAAGATTGATCAATTATTTTTGATATCTCTCTGCTAAGTTAGTTTCTCAGTTTAGAGATAAATAAAACAAAGCCAAAAATACTATATATCTCCCACCAAAGAATTAATGGTCTCAAGACACCCTCAGGTAGAATATTTCTCCTCTTGTCACAGTGTTCCTGGTACTTGCAAATGCAAGTCACTGATTCCCAGAGAGTAAAAACAACCATACCTCACTTACATGGAAAGAACCAAAGAACCTTTTATTTTCAAGTATTTTAAGCCTACCCCTAAAAATTTGGTTTTTTCTAATACTGTAGTGACAGGTTTTACACATGTCCAATTTAGGTCATTAAAAGTTCAATTTAAATCTTGGGTAACGGGACACAGCAGGCACTTCAAACAGCTGTGACTTGGAAACGCTGTAAATGTTTAGAGCAATACACAAGGTTCTATTAACATTTCTACAGATCGTATCTACAACCTCTGAACTGGCTGTTAACGCAGCTCTAATAGCCGAACGCACTTTTCAGTCTTTGCCATTCTGAACGATCTTCATGACAACCCTTAATGACAGAAGCAGAAGTGATTTACACCCGACAGAACTTGTCAAACCACTGCAAAAGTCCTGCCGTGGCTACTTAAGGGTGAAGCACTAAGGATACTTCGCAGCCAAATGGAAACAAAACGCAAATGTTTAGCGGCAAAAAGGCAAACCATCAGTTGCCACAGAGATCGGGAAGGTCTTCAGTCACCCAGACATCAGGCAGAGTAACATTCATTTTCCAGTTCTTCAGGTGGAAATACACGGAGCTCATCACCCATTCCACACCCACCTGAATTTTCAGGATTCAAAATACAACCGCTCCTAGCTGCTGCTTGCAGAAATGTAAGACATGTTTAACATATTTCACTCCATCCCCTACTCACAGGGCTTGAAAAGCTTTAAATCTCAGAATGCTTATTTTCAGTGCAGAGAATACTTTGCTTCCAAGAATAAAGATTAAAGATGAGCTGTCAAAGACAGTGCTATGAAAAGTATCTTCAGTAAAAAAAAAATAGGTCTCCAACAGCTTACTCCCGTGAGAAAAATCATAATGCAAGTGTCACTGTCATTTCTAAAGCTGAAAGCATGAAAAAAGATCGAGGAGTTAATGAGAAATCTATTCCTATTTCACCAAAACCCCTAACAGCACTTCAATTAAATACTGTGTTAACTCAGCTCAGAAGAACAGCCTTTCCAACATTCAGACAGAACTTCCTCTAGGTGGGGATGGATTATTAACTTTCTACCAAAAGGGAAAATGTAACCACTGCGCTTCCTCACTTGACAAACACAACCAAGGTAAAGAAACCTAGATGTTTTAAACGATAAGCAATATAATACCTGTGAGGACAGGATAACGGCCCAGTAACAACTCAGAAAATGTACTCATTCACAACAAGCTTTAAAATCGAAGAAATTACCATTTGCTTTGGTCCTGGCATTATTAGGGTCTGTTATGAGTGGCACCAAGACAAAGGATACAAGTGATCTCTTTGTAGCCCGGAAATAATAGCTCTGCAGATCCACATACACAAAGAGTCACCTTGGCCTCCTCTCAACACGCTCTGAAATTAGCCCACTGCTCCACAGCAGGACAAACTCCAAACATCCAATACACACAGGCAACAAATGGCCAACTTTAAAACCTTATTATCAAGTTCACAGGCAAAAAAAAAAAAAAAAATGTATCATATTTGCCTTGTATTAGCTTTATAGCTAGATTGTAATCTTACTGCTGCAATAGCCACCAAATTTCAGTGACTTGGCTCTTTCTCTGCACTGTGTACATCACTTCAGCCAACATGTCTGACTTCAACGACTCCTTAACTTCCCAGGCTAACAAGTTACTGGATTTACTTTTTGTTTATTTAGGAATGAGTTACCTTATACTAAACGCTTAAAAGAGATGTGAATTATACAGCTCAATTTCAATACTCAAGAGAGAAAAACTGAATTTAAACACGATTTTAAAACAGACAGTTATTGATATTTAACCTATAAAAAGTAGTTTCCCAAAGACAGAAAGAACTTGGCTTCTCTAATAGTCTCACCAATGTATTGCTATTAGTTAGATATTAGAACATTTTCCAGCTATATATGTCAACGTACTTAATAAATGGAGCTCCTGCTTATAAGGGGTGTTTTACAGGGAATGAAATGAGATGTCCTGTCCAAGATTATATAGAGAAATAACCGCAAATAGTATTCTTCACAGGCAGTCTTTACACTGATACCAAAGGGGGCGGGAAGAAATTGACAGCCCTATAAATTAAGTCTTCTTTCCCACTCCATATAGAAAAGCAAGTGTCAGGGCACGCTTTCTTCTCACTGATCAATGACTCGGTATCACAGTGACTTTTAACAATGACAAGACCTTAACTAAGTACTCGTTTCTTTGCAAAAAATATGTTACTGTTCTGTATTTCCCACTCTCTCCTGCAAACCTTGCCACCAGGGATGTACATTTCACTCAGCTGCACTTGTGTTGTCCTGAATGAAACTGACCAATGCCCACTTAGCTCAAACAATTGAAAGAAAGGAAGACAGGAAGGAGCTAAACCTCTCGCTTTTCAGAAGGAAAAAGTCATTAAAATCCACTACTAATTTCTGCTCCCTGGGCAGCCCCAAGAAGTGCACATGTCATTTGCATGACACTTCCAGAAGGGACAGCAGCGACACAGCTTTAGGCCGATTTCTCCCCGTCTCTCAGTTCCGTGAAGTGCAGCAGCCTATTTTCAGCGATAAGTCAGCCGGAGCTGAGTCCTGTGCTCTTAGGAGCTGGAGGAGCCTGTTTCACCCATAACTTCTGCCACATACTCCCACCACACACGAGCAAAATCATAGCAGACGCAAGCAAAACAAAATAAACAAAAACCAAACAAACAAAAAAAAAAAAAGGCAAGTGAAACTGACAGGAAAAAGACGAAAATCGCAATAAGCAGAGACTTACTTGAACCTGCCCTGGCAGTGTTGGCACTGGTCTCCCACCCAGCCCTGGTCGCAGACGCAGGTGGAGTTGACACAATGACCCGAGAAGCAGGAGATTTTGTCGCAGGACTTGGACTGGGACACCTGGGCATAAAGGGCCAGGTAGAGGAAGCCGTAGAAGAGCAGCCAGCTGTTCACATCCAGGAGCGAGGCGAAGCAGCAGCAGCAGGCGGAGGGGAAAGGTCTGCAGGCGCCCGGGCCCGCGGGGGCAGCCCCCGCTCTCCGGCCGGCGCTGCCCAGGTCCATCTTGGCCGCGGGGGCCGCGGGCCGAGGCGCGGCTGGCGATGGCAGCTTCCCCTGAGGGGAGATAATCCAGCCAGGGAGATTCAAACCCCCCGCTTCCTCCTCGCCTTCCTCTCCTCCCTCCCGACCCCAGCGCTGCCTCCTCCGGCCCCTTCAGCCCTCCGCGCCCCGTCACTCCCGAGGGGAAGCCCGGCAGCGGCAGCCCTGAGCCATCCGCCCCTTCTCCTCGTCGTCCTCCTCAGGGCTCATCGCTCCCGTCTTCTTCCATGGAGGAGGAGAGCTGCCTCTTGACCTTGTGTTTTCTCCTGGCCAGATATGCCCCCACGGCCGCGCACACGCCACCCTGGACCATGTATATCCCTTCTCCTTTGTATCCCGGTGCCCGCGGCACACACACACACACACACGCAGCGGCGGCGCCGAGGAGGAGCGCGGGAGGGGAGGCGGGCGCCGCCGTCCTCTCGCCAGGCAGCCAGCTGGGAAGTGAGGGCGGCCGGGCCCGGAGCCGCTACGGCATCGCGCTCCGGCGGGGCGGGGAAAGGGCTGGAGAGCTCTTATCCCCGCTCCGTTATTAGCCCTGCGGGGAAGGGAGGCGGGCGGCAGCGAGAGGAGGGTTAGCAGCCCCTCCGCGTCCCAGCTGACAGCTTCCAAGCAGCCATTTTTAAAGGCTAATTGTCACCGCCGCTCGGAGCCGCCTCCCGCCCCTCGGCCCGCGTGGATCCGTCCCTCGCTGGGAGGGGGGTCCGGCAGGGGGACCGGCCCTCCGAGGCCGCCCCTTCCCTGCGCTCCCGAGGGCGCCTCTCCCGCCCACGCTTCCCAAACAGGAGTGCCGGAGCGGCCCCGGGAACGGAGCGGCCCCGGGAACGGAGCGGCCCCGCGAATGCGGCCCCCGCCCTCCGCCCGGACCCCCGGCAGAGCGGGCTGAGGCTCGGATGTTCCCAGCTCTGCTGCCTTGGTTCCTCCGTTCGTTCCCCTCAGGTCCTGCAAAGTTCAGAGGCGGTTTGCCTTGAACTCCTCCCGGCTGGTAGCAGGAGAGATGGTACAGCTTGTTCTGGGAACCTCACCCTTCCTAGGGTTTACTCTGTATGGAAAATCACACTGTGGAAAGCCAGTGTCCATAAAGGAGACAGAGGAGTCCTGCAACTTTATTCAAATAAAGGAAGAGAGGCCATTGGGGCACAAGCCGGCGCGGTTTTCTCTCTCGAGGATTGGGAGGGTGCAGCCTCCTTTTATCTCAAACTCTCGGCCGCATGTTGCCCTTTTCCTTTCCCCATCGGCTGAGGAAGGTACAGCCTTCCCGAACCGCCTAACCCATATCACCTTCGAACTTGTTGTTTTACCCAAAAGTTCCGAAACTCAGGCTTGTACAGACCCTTGTATGCTTCAGGAGCTAAACTGTCTGGGTTCTGCAACAAATCTGCTGCCCAAAGTTAGTAAACGCATTAAGACTCATTCCAAAGACCTTAACACCCCTACCTTCACCCATCGAATTGTTTGTAAAGACATTAACACACACCTTCCCTCTCAACTCCATGCTCCAAATTTAAGCTTCAAAACAAGATGTTGCCTCCTGCTTACAGCATGATGAGCAGTCACAAAGTTGCTGCCTTTGTAAACGGAGCAGTACAAAAGTAACCCTTACGTTAAAAGTTCCATAAAATGTCCCTTTTTTTTTCCTAAATGTACCTTCCATAGCCTTTTTCAACTCTACTGTAACCTATTTTCATTTTACGATTAGTCAAACCCCCAGAAACTTTTTCCTAACACTGAAATTGGGAATTTATGATGTGATGTCTCTTTTCCAAATAGATGAAGAAAGAGTATTTAATTTCATCTTCTGGTACCCACTCTAAATAGGTAGGTCCAAAGTGACCCCGTTAGTCTGGAATCAGATCCAAATCGACCCCTCCCCAGATTCTTAAGTTTTTACCCTTGAAGTCCATAGGAATTTGAGTTTTAGTTTAACGTGTTTTCCCGAGCACAACATTAAACTTCACCTGCATTTCCAAAGTCCCTCAGTACTCCTGTAAGGGACACAGTAACATCCAGCAGCATGCATTTGAGCTTTGTATGAGAAAAAAGTCCAACCAAGATCCGGATGTCAAAGTCAAACACAAAGCACAAACATCACAGAGAAAGAGTCTGTGCCTTAAAGAATTTACAGTCTTGATGAAGTGAGTATGTCCATCAAGTATGTGGGGAAAACAGAGATGAAAAGTGATTTTCCTGGTTTAATTCCAGAGAGTTTAAGGAGGTCCACAAGTTGCTCTTAGTCCAGGAGTACATCGTCTTCCTACCAGAGCTGAGATGGATCATTTCATTGTCCTGCATCAGACACGTTTCTTAGCTATTAGACATCTCTTTGTATGTGTTTGCTAATGAATTGATGAGTTCATGCAAAGAGAGGAAAGGGAATTTGTGTTACTGCTTTATATTTTATGATAAAAAGCTGAGGCTGAAGCTTTTGTGAACAGTCTGCTAATTGTATAATATCACATGTGATTAAGGCTGCCGAACAACTGTCCTCTATTAAATACTATTATGGGACCAGAAATGCAGTTAAAAGGAGATAACAGTCCAAGACACAAAGTCAGTTTAAGAATACTCTTTCATACAAAAACACTTAAAGAAATAGTTTTGCTTACCATGACAGGGAAGTACCCTCCTTCTCCACTTTCTCAATGACTTTAAACCAACTAAAAAAGTTTTAAAACCATCTGAACCATCTTTTTCTCAGACTGAAGGAAGATTTTGTTTCAGATCTACAGAAATCAGCCAAGTTTTTGAAAATGTTTGAAATTAACATTCAAAACTTTTGAAATTGGCATTCACATCAAAGCTAAGAGCTCAACAATCCTTTGCCAGGCAAGACATCTATTCTAAAGCATAAAAAACCAAAACCAAACCAAACAACTCAAATAGGCCAACAGAAAAGGACTAGGGTCGTTGTAAGACGTGCAGTGAATAGCATGATAGTACTTTTACTGCATAAACAATCATAAATAAAAATCTAAATTAGATTTAGTGCACCAAGGAAGAAACATTGAAGAATGTTGAACATTTAGAGCATCAAGGAAGAACAGTGAAAAATGAAGAAACAATCTTAGCTGATTCCTGGCTAAGAACTAACACACTATGGAAATGAAGGAAAGCAAATATTTTGGCTGCTGTATGCTACAGCAATGCAGTAGAAATTTCATAACTCTAGGGAAGGAATGATGTACAAATGCCAATATTGGTTCTCTACTGTGCTGATTTGATGGGATTTTTTTGGTGTTGGATGAAGTTAACAAATCTGGCTGAGAGAAGTCAGATCTGTCAATCCTTTCATCTTTACATGCATATCTGTAAGTTCCACTTTTCTTGCAAGTGTAACATTTTACACCTTTCATCCTTTCAGTTCTTGAAACAAAAATCATTTACCCTTTTAAAGAACTAATGCACTGAACCATCTTGGGTAGATTTAGAACTTAAAAGCATTTGAATAAGTTATCAAAAGTTTTAAGTTACCAAATAAAAACATAATGAGATTACAAACTAGCGATGTAGAAGGTTATGTGAACAAATCCTTCCAAGAATATATCCATTGTAGTAGGAAAGCAAAATAAATAGAATAAGTATAAATGCTTCTAGGCTATTACTATCAAATCTTAAGCCTCTGTATATAAGGAGAGAAATGCTGATACGTTTACATTCATTCAGTAAAACAGTATATTTAAAGTTCTCTGTGGATGCTGTTGTGAGACAGTGGAATAGATAAAGCAAAACAGCCCCCAAGCAGAGACTTCTCCAGCTGCTCAGAGTCTCTGCAAAACTCTGAGGACCAGAATAAAGCAGAGACCATCCTCTCCTCCCTGCCCCCCACGCACACACACTCCCTGCTCTGCTGGCCCTCTCCTACAGGCTGAGATCAATGAAGCCTTGCTGCAGACATCCCCCTCACTTAAGGATGCTCGGCACTATTTACAGGATCCAGTGCCGTGCTTTTGCAGTTCTGCTGAGAACAATGTAAGTGGCTGAAGAGCAGAGGGGGGAAAAAAGAATACCATTGGGCTTGACCTCTTTGCAAGGATATTGAGAGAAACAAATGCTTCCTATGCCCTTTCCTTTCTCCTTGGGACAGATATTACTGGGCTCATTAAGTAGAAGGGGCCAAGCTCTGCACTGCTGCTGGACAGGGATATATAGGCCTGCCTTGGCCTTATGACACATTGGTGGAACTGGTGTGTAGACAGCTGTGGAGGAGGTAATGGCTGCAGAGTGATTTGAGAGCTTCAAGAGCTGCTCTAGCCTAACACATCAGAGCAGTGCTCATTCCCAGTGTACAGGATTCCTGAGTGCAGCCTTCCCCTTTGCTTTCCAAATATGCACCCAATATTTTGTATAGAGGAAAGCAAAAGGCTTTTTTTTTTTCCATAAATCCCACGCTAATTTTTCATTGAGCAAGACTGAGCCACCTGAGCCACTCAAAAAAAAATATTTCTGATATAAAGGAAATCATCAGTCTCTTTCCTGAGGTAAAAGAAACTTGTCCCTACTTATCAGATTCCAGTGCTAACAGAATAATTCATGTTACAATTTTCTGTTCCTATTGTCTTATCTGGTAAGTCAACTCTTGGGAGGTATCAATTTTATAAGATTAAAAATATAAACCTCCCCTTGCCTACTCATTTTTTCAGTATTTGGAAAGAAATATAAGCCTTCCCTTGCCTAGTTATTTTTTCTAAACTTAGAAAGAAATAAAATTCACAGAAAATTTACTGGCACATTTCTAAAGTGAAACCTTAACAGAAAAATCTTACCTTTCTTAACACCAATGTGTCTATTTTGCTACAGTAATCACATTTGTTACCATCATCTGCAAGAAGTAAACTGCCATACAATAAAGACTGTAAGTGCTGTAGGAAGTTTATCAAACTCAGAAACATCTACAAAACAACAGAGGCGAAAATTAGTGCTTGTGTTATTTTTTCCAATTTTTTTCCATTTTTTTATGTGGAGGA